GTTGTCTGACACAACCACAACTCATTGTTGTGTAACAATCAAGACTGTATGGGACGTTGTCTGACACAACAACTCATTGTTGTGTAACAAACAAGACTGTTTGGGGCGATGTCTGACACAACCACTACTCATTGTTGTGTAACAAGCAAGACTGTTTGGGACGTTGTCTGACACAACCACAACTCATTGTTGTGTAACAGACAAGACTGTTTGGGACGTTGTCTGACACAACCACAACTCATTGTTGTGTAACAAGCAAGACTGTTTGAGACGTTGTCTGACACAACCACAACTCATTGTTGTGTAACAAGCAAGACTGTTTGGGACGTTGTCTGACACAACCACAACTCATTGTTGTGTAACAAACAAGACTGCATGGGACGTTGTCTGACACAACAACTCATTGTTGTGTAACAAACAAGACTGTTTGGGGCGATGTCTGACACAACCACTACTCATTGTTGTGTAACAAGCAAGACTGTTTGGGACGTTGTCTGACACAACAACAACTCATTGCTGTGTAACAGACAAGACTGTTTGGGGCGTTGTCTGACACACTGTATGGGGCGTTGTCTGACACAACCACAACTCATTGTTGTGTAACAAACAAGACTGTATGGGACGTTGTCTGATACAACCACAACTCATTGCTGTGTAGCAAGCAAGACTGCATGGGACGTTGTCTGACACAACCACAACTTATTGTTGTGTAACAAACAAGACTGTTTGGGACGTTGTCTGACACAACCATAACTCATTGTTGTGTAACAAACAAGACTGCTTGGGGCTTTGACACAAAAACAAAACTCCTTGTTGTGTAACAAACAAGACTGTTTGGGGCGTTGTCTGACACAAAAACAACTCCTTGTTGTGTAACAAACAAGACTGTTTGGGGCGTTGTCTGACACAACCCCATTTCATTACACCTCTCACAGGTCATACTGTGCCACACTCAGTATTAGACAAACCTGCCACTGGTAAGTGATGTAGCCAATCCGCCGCCTTTACGTTACATATTTCCTTATACACATTTGTGACTGTAAAGAGCTTGAAACCCGCGTTTCGATTGTCAACACTCTCCTAGTCAGGAGTTCCAAACTTACAGCCACTGAGCCACCAGGCCTCCCATCGTAATGTGGCGCAGACTAATGCAGTTGGAGACTCCCTGGTCAAGACTTGGTCACGGAATTATGTATGGTAACCATATGCTGTTTCTGAAAGGTCAAATTACTCCCGTTTGCCTGGTAATGTCTACACTTTCACCAACTTCTCATTACACTTGCATCTCGGCAATACAGGGCAGACAAACACATTCTACTGCGACTCCCAGTACTATCACTACTGCTGCTGCGATCACTGCTGCAGCTGGTGTTTTTACTGCTGCTGTTACAGCTGCTGTCGCTATCACTGCTACTACTGCTGCCACTGCTGTTGCTCCTGCTACTACTGTTACTGACACAGCCGCTACTATTGTCACTGTTGGTACCGCTGCTGTTGTTATTTAATACTGTCACGTATATTTTGACTACCGCTACTTCTATTATTACTTCAGTTAATCAAATCAATGGTAATTTTGCTACTCACTCTTCTCATCATCGTCATCATCAACAGTGTCCACTTTTGCAGTTAAGCGACGTGGGAAGAAACAGTTTGCGATCCATTGACTGCTGGGCAGCATTGGCTACTGACTTGTCCTGTCAGTGTAGCAGCTCTGTAATGTCCCTCCTCTCATTTGTCCAATAGGACAACAGATGGCGTTCACAGACATGAAAGCTCATCCAATAGGACAACAGATGGCGTTCACAGACATGAAAGCTCATCCAATAGGACAACAGATGGCGTTCACAGACATGAAAGCTCATCCAATAGGACAACAGATGGCGTTCACAGACATGAAAGCTCATTTAGTCGAAACAATTGAATGTATGGGAGAATCATTCATGTGGAGCTTTGGTAGAAAACTAAACACATTCAAGTGAATGATGGGGCGATGACAACACATCAGCGCTGGATGAGATCCCAAACATTGTGTCCAATGCCCACCTGATACCAACAGAATCAGAGTCAGCTGATGTTATCAGAACAGGAGGCACAACCCATGCTACAGAAGGATCAGACAGTAAAAGGAAGGGTGGAAAAGGGGGGGGGGGGGGAGGGGGGATTAGTAAGGAATAGAAGAAGAGATTGAAGAATACACTTGTTTTTTTTTGTAACTAGGATTGTGGTAAGGTGCCGTCTGCGCAAGTTTCGTAGATGGACTCCCTATCGCTTCACTAGGCGTCCTGGGTCAAAGGTCGTATTCCGCTACCCTGTATTGCTCTAATGTAGCACATCATCTCCTACAGCTGACACAAAGACATCTGATCTATTGCCAGCCCCTACAGCTGACACAAAGATGTCTGATCTATTGCCAGCCCCTACAGCTGACACAAAAACATCTGATCTATTGCCAGCCCCTACAGCTGACGCAAAGACATCTGATCTATTGCCAGCCCCTACAGCTGACGCAAAGACATCTGATCTATTGCCAGTCCCTACAGCTGACACAAAGATGTCTGATCTATTGCCAGCCCCTACAGCTGACACAAAGACATCTGATCTATTGCCAGTCCCTACAGCTGACACAAAGACATCTGATCTATTGCCAGTCCCTACAGCTGACACAAAGACATCTGATCTATTGCCAGTCCCTACAGCTGACACAAAGATGTCTGATCTATTGCCAGCCCCTACAGCTGACACAAAGACATCTGATATATTGCCAGTCCCTACAGCTGACACAAAGACATCTGATCTATTGCCAGCCCCTACAGCTGACACAAAGATGTCTGATCTATTGCCAGTCCCTACAGCTGACACAAAGACATCTGATCTATTGCCAGCCCCTACAGCTGACACAAAGATGTCTGATCTATTGCCAGCCCCTACAGCTGACACAAAGATGTCTGATCTATTGCCAGTCCCTACAGCTGACACAAAGACATCTGATCTATTGCCAGTCCCTACAGCTGACACAAAGACATCTGATCTATTGCCAGTCCCTACAGCTGACACAAAGATGTCTGATCTATTGCCAGTCCCTACAGCTGACACAAAGACATCTGATCTATTGCCAGTCCCTACAGCTGACACAAAGACATCTGATCTATTGTCAGTCCCTACAGCTGACACAAAGATGTCTGATCTATTGCCAGTCCCTACAGCTGACACAAAGACATCTGATCTATTGCCAGTCCCTACAGCTGACACAAAGACATCTGATCTATTGCCAGTCCCTACAGCCGACACAAAGACATCTGATCTATTGCCAGTCCCTACAGATGACACAAAGACATCTGATCTATTGCCAGTCCCTACAGCTAACACAAAGACGTCTGATCTATTGCCAGCCCCTACAGCTGACACAAAGACATCTGATCTATTGCCAGTCCCTACAGCTGACACAAAGACATCTGATCTATTGCCAGTCCCTACAGCTGACACAAAGATGTCTAATCTATTGGCAGCCCCTACAGCTGTCCCTATGACCTCCCATGTGACTTGTCTCTCTAATTCTCTACTCCACGTGTTAGAATTCTGCCCATACTATAACATGTTGAGTAGTGGCTTCCAGCTAAGCCTACTGCCCCTAGATGATTTGCAAATTGTTGAAGTGGTTGTGCCTATCTAAGTACAGACGTTCTCTGTTTATATATCTGGTATTATTTCAAATGTTTCATTACATTCATTTGCCTTTCAGCCCATAATAATATTATTAGCATTGTTACTACACACTCAACAAGGTTTAAGACCCTTCAGTCATGCCCCTAAAGAATTATAAAGCTGCTAAGTGGGTCTTATATGATCTATCCTTCCAGATTTCATGGTCGACGTGCACTTGTCAACCGCCTTTGTTTCCTGTGAACTTTCCTGGTACCCAGCGAAGACTTGGTCGGCCCTCGAGCATTATTAGTGGGAGACAATTACTAACTCCAACTGGATTGCAAGAAGATCCCAGGCAGATGTATGTATGACCTAACTACTACGCCAGTGCAACAACAACCCTTGTGTCAGTTAACTAGACAATGAATGTCTAAAGAATGCTGAACAAACAGAATTGAACAACAAACAGATGAAGAGATTACAACAAAATTAACATAATACTACAAACATTGGACAGGCCTGGAGGCAGCCATGCAAGAAATACAGTGTTCAATTTTAGAGTAGTGTCGAGCGATAAGATCGGAACCACTCGGTCTTGGGGTCTGTGCAAATGACAACTGAGGAGGTTAAGCTATCGATGCAACCATAAAGACATTAAAAGTCAGGGACACATGTAGTTCCCCTACCCGGCTGATGTAGCAGGTACATGTGTCCTAACTATAACTTCTGTGGAAGGTTGAACGGGGTATCTGGGATCTGCCTGACCGGTCTGCTGTTTGGACAGGGATTGTTCGTTCGCCAGGACTGCTGAGTGGTCGGGTTCCCGGGTTGTTCGGCCTACTCCAAAAGTGCTTTTTGGGTTGTTGTGACTGTAGTAGCTGTGTCAGCCTCTCCAGGGCGCCAGTGGACATTGTTGTTATACCAGTTTGTTACTAAAGCTATACAGTCAGAAGATGTTACTAAAGCTATACAGTCAGAAGATGTTACTAAAGCTATACAGTCAGAAGATGTTACTAAAGCTATACAGTCAGAAGATGTTAATAAAGCTATACAGTCAGAAGATGTTACTAAAGCTATACAAAGAAGATGTTACAGCTATACAGTCAGAAGATGTTACTAAAGCTATACAGTCAGAAGAGTCACTAAAGAGATACAGTCAGAAGATGTTACTAAAGCTATACAGTCAGAAGATGTTACTTAAGCTATACAGTCAGAAGATGTTACTAAAGCTATACAGTCAGAAGATGTTACTAAAGCTATACAGTCAGAACAGATGAAGATGTTATAAAGCTATACAGTCAGAAGATGTTAATAAAGCTATACAGTCAGAAGATGTACTAAAGCTATACAGTCAGAAGATGTTACACAAAGCTATACAGTCAGAAGATGTTACTAAAGAGCTATACAGTCAGAAGATGTTACTTAAGCTATACAGTCAGAAGATGTTTACTAAAAGCTATACACAAAGAGATCTATACAGTCAGAAGATGTTACTAAAAGCTATACAGTCAGAAGATGTTACTAAAGCTATACAGTCAGAAGATGTTACTAAAGCTATACAGTCAGAAGATGTTACTAAAGAGCTATACAGTCAGAAGATGTTACTAAAGCTATACAGTCAGAAGATGTTACTAAAGCTATACAGTCAGAAGATGTTACTAAAGCTATACAGTCAGAAGATGTTACTAAAGCTATACAGTCAGAAGATGTTGCTAAAGCTATACAGTCAGAAGATGTTACTAAAGCTATACAGTCAGAAGATGTTGCTAAAGCTATACAGTCAGAAGATGTTACTAAAGCTATTACTAAAGCTGTTACTAAAGCTATACAGTCAGAAGATTTGCTAAAAGCTATACAGTCAGAAGATGTTACTAAAGCTATACAGTCAGAAGATGTTACTAAAGCTATACAGTCAGAAGTACTTGTTACTCAAAAGATGTTGTAAAGCTATACAGTCAGAAGATGTTACTAGCCCATACAGTCAAAAGATGTTTCTCAGAAGATGTTACTAAAGCTATACAGTCAGAAGATGTTACTAAAGCTATACAGTCAGAAGATGTTACTAAAGCTATACAGTCAAAAGATGTTACTAAAGCTATACAGTCAGAAGATGTTACTAAAGCTATACAGTCAGAAGATGTTACTAAAGCTATACAGTCAGAAGATGTTACTAAAGCTATACAGTCAGAAGATGTTACTAAAGCTATACAGTCAGAAGATGTTACTAAAGCTATACAGTCAGGAAAGATGTTACTAAAAGCTATACAGTCAGAAGTATGTTTACTAAAAGCTATACAGTCAGAAGATGTTACTAAAGCTATACAGTCAGAAGATGTTACTAAAGAGCTATACAGTCAGAAGATGTTACTAAAGCTATACAGTCAGAAGATGTTACTAAAGCTATACAGTCAGAAGATGTTACTAAAGAGTTTATTACAGTCAGAAATGTTACTAAAGAGCTATACAGTCAGAAAGATGTTACTAAAGCTATACAGTCAGAAGATGTTACTAAAAGCTATACAGTCAGAAATGTTACTAAAGCTATACAGTCAGAAGATGTTACTAAAGCTATACAGTCAGAAGATCGTTACTAAGAGCTATACAGTCAGAAGATGTTACTAAAGCTATACAGTCAGAAGATGTGCTTACAGTCTAAGATCCTAACTATAACAGTCAGAAGATGTTACTAAAAGCTATACAGTCAGAAGATGTTACTAAAGAGCTATACAGTCAGAAGATGTTACTAAAGAGCTATACAGTCAGAAGTGGTCAGAAGATGTTACTAAAGAGCTATACAGTCAGAAGTTACTAAAAGCTATACAGTCAGAAGATGTTACTAAAGCTATACAGTCAGAAGATGTTTACTAAAGCCCTATACAGTCAGAAGATGTTACAAAGCTATACAGTCAGAAGATGTTACTAAAGCTATACAGTACTAAGAGCTATACAGTCAGAAGATGTTACTAAAGCTATACAGTCAGAAGATGTTACTAAAGCTATACAGTCAGAAGATGTTTAGCTAAACAGTCAGAAGACAGCTATACAGTCAGAAGATGTTACTAAAGCTATACAGTCAGATGTTGATAAAGTATACAGTCAGAAGATGTTACTAAAGCTATACAGTCAGAAGATGTTACTAAAGCTATACAGTCAGAAGATGTTACTAAAGCTATACAGTCAGAAGATGTTACTAAAGCTATACAGTCAGAAGATGTTACTAAAAAGCTATACAGTCAGAAGATGTTACTAAAGAGCTATACAGTCAGAAGATGTTACTAAAGCTATACAGTCAGAAGATGTTACTAAAGCTATACAGTCAGAAGATGTTACTAAAGCTATACAGTCAGAAGATGTTACTAAAGCTATACAGTCAGAAAAGCTATACAAGCTATACAGTCAAGATGTTACTAAAAAGCTATACAGTCAGAAGATGTTACTAAAGCTATACAGTCAGAAGATGTTACTAAAAGCTATACAGTCAGAAGATGTTACTAAAGCTATACAGTCAGAAGATGTTACTAAAGCTATACAGTCAGAAGAGAAAAGCTATACTCAGAAGATGTTACTAAGCTACAGTCAGAAGATGTTACTAAAGCTATACAGTCAGAAGATGTTACTAAAGCTATACAGTCAGTCAGAAGATGTTACTAAAGCTATACAGTCAGAAGATGTTACTAAAGCTATACAGTCAGAAGATGTTACTAAAAGCTATACAGTCAGAAGATGTTACTAAAAGCTATACAGTCAGAAGATGTTACTAAAAGCTATACAGTCAGAAGATGTTACTAAAGCTATACAGTCAGAAGATGTTACTAAAAAGCTATACAGTCAGAAGATGTTACTAAAGATATACAGTCAGAAGTCGTTACTAAAGCTATACAGTCAGAAGATGTACTAAAAGCTATACAGTCAGAGAGTTACTAGAGCTATACAGTCAGAAGATGTTACTAAAGCTATACAGTCAGAAGATGTTACTAAAGCTATACAGTCAGAAGATGTTACTAAAAAGCTATACAGTCAGAAGATGTTACTAAAGCTATACAGTCAGAAGATGTTACTAAAGCTATACAGTCAGAAGATGTTACTAAAGCTATACAGTCAGAAGATGTTACTAAAGCTATACAGTCAGAAGATGTTACTAAAGCTATACAGTCAGAAGATGTTACTAAAGAGCTATACAGTCAGAAGATGTTACTAAAGAGCTATACAGTCAGAAGATGTTACTAAAGAGCTATACAGTCAGAAGATGTTACTAAAGCTATACAGTCAGAAGATGTTACTCAAAGAGGTATACAGTCAGAAGATGTTACTAAAGCTATACAGTCAGAAGATGTTACTAAAGCTATACAGTCAGAAGATGTTACTAAAGCTATACAGTCAGAAGACGTTACTAGAGCTATACAGTCAGAAGACGTTACTAGAGCTATACAGTCAGAAGATGTTACTAAAGAGCTATACAGTCAGAAGATGTTACTAAAGCTATACAGTCAGAAGATGTTACTAAAGCTACAGTCAGAAGATGTTACTAAAGCTATACAGTCAGAAGATGTTACTAAAGAGCTATACAGTCAGAAGATGTTACTAAAGAGCTATACAGTCAGAAGATGTTACTAAAGAGCTATACAGTCAGAAGATGTTACTAAAGCTATACAGTCAGAAGATGTTACTAAAGTTATACAGTCAGAAGATGTTACTAAAGCTATACAGTCAGAAGATGTTACTAAAGCTATACAGTCAGAAGACGTTACTAGAGCTATACAGTCAGAAGATGTTACTAAAGAGCTATACAGTCAGAAGATGTTACTAAAGCTATACAGTCAGAAGATGTTACTAAAGCTATACAGTCAGAAAATGTTACTAAAGCTATACAGTCAGAAGATGTTACTAAAGCTATACAGTCAGAAGATCTTACTAAAGAGCTATACAGTCAGAAGATGTTACTAAAGAGCTATATAGTCAGAAGATGTTACTAAAGCTATACAGTCAGAAGATGTTACTAAAGCTATACAGTCAGAAGATGTTACTAAAGTTATACAGTCAGAAGTCGTTACTAAAGCTATACAGTCAGAAGATGTTACTAAAGCTATACAGTCAGAAGATGTTACTAAAGAGTTATACAGTCAGAAGATGTTACTAAAGAGCTATACAGTCAGAAGACGTTACTAAAGCTATACAGTCAGAAGACGTTACTAAAGCTATACAGTCAGAAGATGTTACTAAAGAGGTATACAGTCAGAAGATGTTGCTAAAGAGGTGTACAGTCAGAAGATGTTACGACAGCTACACAGTCAGAAGTCGTTACTAAACCTATATAGTCAGATGTTACTAACGTTTATCCCAAGTCTACATTCAGTCAAGTCGAAAACAAATATGTAGTAAATCGCACACGTTTTTTGACTTCTCATTCCAAGTTTTGACCGGCGGTAACTCTTGTCAATTCTTGTTACAGCCGCTGTTTTCATTCATGAATTGTGCTTACATCTTTGCCATCTCATTTGGTAATTCCACATCCATCTCATTTTGTCACTCTAAAACCATCTCATTCTGTCACTCCACAGCCACGCCATCTCATTCTGTCACTCCACAGTAATCTCATTCTGTCACTCCACATCCATCTCTTTTTGTCACTCCACAACTATCTCTGTCACTCCCCAACCATCTCCTTTTCGTCACTCAACATCCATCTCTTCCTGTCACTCAACATACATCTCTTCCTGTCACTCCACATCCATCTTCTTCTGTCATTCACAGCCATCTCGTTATATCAATCCACAACTATCTCTGTCACTCCACATCCATGTCTTTCTATCACTCCACAACTATCTCTGTCACTCCATAACCATGTCTTTTTTGTCACTCAACATCCATCTCTTCCCGTGATTCCACATCCATCTTCTTCTGTCGTCTACAGGAGAAGAGACCACAATGCAGCCCCTATCAGATAAGGGCCTTTGCGTGGACAGATCGGCACGCAACTCTCTGGACTCTATCACCAACCCCGGAGTTACTTATTTAGCAACTCGTCCGGATACTGAACAATGGAAAGTCGGTTCTCGGACATGAGGGATCATTGAGCCACGCATCTAGATGAGAAGATAAATCGACTGGGGGGATTACTGTCAGAGGGGAATTATACGGGTTAGGACAATGCATCATGGGTATAATATATGTTTTCTGGTGTCTGTTGTTGGCACGGGTTGTTTCGGAGTGGAGTCCAAAACAGACAAATCATTTTATGTTTATGTTTGTGTTTATGTTTCCAAATTTGAATTCGTTTTTATTTTGCTTTAGCACTTAAAAAAATTTGTTTGTGTATCTCTCAGATATTTTCTTAGGGGTGGGCGGATATGTTGGGACACAAGTTGGCGGACTTGCCTAGTTGGCGGACTTGCCTAGTTGGCGGACTTGCCTAGTTGGCGGACTTGCCTAGTTGGCGGACTTGCCTAGTTGGCGGACTTGCCTAGCTGGCGGACTTGCCTAGCTGGCGGACTTGCCTAGTTGGCGGACTTGCCTAGTTGGCGGACTTGCCTAGCTGGCGGACTTGCCTAGCTGGCGGACTTGCCTAGCTGGCGAACTTGCCTAGTTGGCGGACTTGCCTAGCTGGCGTACATAGGACAGAAAGTAAGAGGCACAGACCAGAATGTAAGAGGCACAGACCAGAATGTAAGAGACACGGACCAAAATGTAAGACGTACAGACCAGAATGTAAGAGGCACAGACCAAAATATAAGAGGCACAGACCAGAATGTAAGAGGCACAGACCAGAATGTAAGAGGCACAGACCAGAATGTAAGAGACACAGACCAGTATGTAAGAGGCACAGACCAGAATGTAAGAGGCACAGACCAGAATGTAAGAGGCACAGACCAGAATGTAAGAGGCACAGACCAGACTGTAAGAGGCACAGACCAAAGTGTAAGAGGCACAGGCCAGAATGTAAGAGGCACAGACCAAAATGTAAGAGGCACAGACCAGAATGTAAGAGGCACAGACCAGACTGTAAGAGGCACAGACCAGAATGTAAGAGGCACAGACCAGAATGTAAGAGGACACAGACCAGAATGTAAGAGGCACAGACCAGAATGTAAGAGGCACAGACCAGAATGTAAGAGGCACAGAATAGAATGTTAGAGGCACAGACCAGAATGTAAGAGGCACAGACCAGAATGTAAGAGGCACAGACCAGAATGTAAGAGACACAGACCAGAATGTAAGAGGCACAGACCAGAATGTAAGAGGCACAGACCAGAATGTAAGAGGCACAGACCAGAATGTAAGAGGCACAGACCAGAATGTAAGAGGCACAGACCAGAATGTAAAAGGTACAGACCAGAATGTAAGAGGTACAGACCAGAATGTAAGAGGTACAGACCAGAATGTAAGAGGCACAGACCAGAATGTAAGAGGCACAGACCAGAATGTAAGAGGCACAGACCAGAATGTAAGAGACACAGACCAGAATGTAAGAGGCACAGACCAGAATGTAAGAGGCACACACCAGAATATAAGAGGCACAGAATAGAATGTAAGAGGCACAGACCAGAATGTAAGAGACACAGACCAGAATGTAAGAGGCACAGACCAGAATGTAAGAGACACAGACCAGAATGTAAGAGGCACAGACCAGAATGTAAGAGGCACACACCAGAATGTAAGAGGCACAGACCAGAATGTAAGAGGCACAGACCAGAATGTAAGAGGCACAGACCAGAATTTAAAAGGTACAGACCAGAATGTAAGAGGTACAGACCAGAATGTAAGAGGCACAGACCAGAATGTAAGAGGCACAGACCAGAATGTAAGATGCACAGACCAGAATGTAAGAGGTACAGACCAGAATGTAGGAGCCACAGACCAAAATGTAAGAGGCACACACCAGAATGTAAGATGCACAGACCAGAATGTAAAAGGTACAGACCAGAATGTAAGAGGTACAGACCAGAATGTAAGAGGTACATACCAGAATGTAAGAGATACATACCAGAATGTAAGAGGTACATACCAGAATGTAAGAGGTACAGACCAGAATGTAAGACGCATATACCAGAATGTAAGACGCATATACCAGAATGTAAGAGGCACAGACCAGAATGTAAGAGGTACAGACCAGAATGTAAGAGGCACAGACCAGAATGTAAGAGGTACAGACCAGAATGTAAGAGGCACAGACCAGAATGTAAGAGGTACAGACCAGAATGTAAGAGGCACAGACCAGAATGTAAGAGGCACAGACCAGAATGTAAGAGGCACAGACCAGAATGTAAGAGGTACAGACCAGAATGTAAGAGGCACAGACCAGAATGTAAGAGGCACAGACCAGAATGTAAGAGGCACAGACGAGAATTTAATATGCAAGTTCAAATATTCAAATTGTCTGCTAAATTCAACTCTACATCGTTTCCATATCTCTATGAGCACCAATCAAAAACCCTGTTGGTATTTCCCAACGGACCCAGAAGATCCCAGTCGCACAAGCATAGAATTACAATTTCCAATTAACGGTCAATGACATTTCCATCATGCCCAAACGTTAGTTATTTACCGACTACACGAACTGTTTCTCTGAGTGTTGCTAACGCGGATGTAGGCCGGTCGCAGTTCAAGTGCACGAAGTTGCCAGAAAGTTGGAACTGACAATCGTAGACTAGGTTCACTGTGAACTATGTGATTCCATGTGAACCATGTGATTCCATGTGATTCATGTGATTCCTTGTGAACCATGTGATTCCATGTGATTCATGTGATTCATGTGATGCCTTGTGATTCATGTGATTCCTTGTGAACCATGTGATTCCATGTGATTCATGTGGACCATTTGGTTCCCTGTGGAAAAACTGATTCCATGTGAACCATGTGATTCCTTGTGAACCATGTGATTAACTACGAACTATGTGATTCCTTGTGAAAAATGTGATTCCGTTTTTCAAAATTCAGTCTCTGGCGTGCACTGACTTAGAGAAAAGCTACGCGATGAAATGAACATTTTGTATCGGCTGTTCGTGTTTTCAAAGTTTCGTCCGTATTAGAGATGCCTGTTTCTCGTCATTACACCTTCAGGAGGTATGCAAGCACTGAGCCACCAAAAGAAGTGCATTGCAAAATGTACGAAACATCTACATAACCAGAGAACTTATGCACATAGTTGGAGAGAAACAAGCAATCTCCCTTAACGCTGATGTTTTAAGGGCCCTTACAAAATGATTCGTTGGGCTGGGGGAGGAAGAAGCTGATAATGGTTGTGGTGGTGATGAGAAGAGATACAGACAGCTACAAACAGACGCACAGGTTGGCGGAAGCACTGTTGTATATTTCTAAATTCGAGGTTTAGATTTACGTCTTTCTGAAAATGGAGACCCGAGACGTGTTTTGTTGTAACCTGAAACCCGCCTGTCTACTCCACTCAGACTGTTGAAATGTGAGCCAGAAAGAGACAATGCACTAATAAAGATTAAACTAAGAATTACTGGTCCTTGACTGATAGAAAACACCAGTGGTTGAAGTAAATTGGGCATAGATTTCTGATGAAAACTGTGCAGTGACTTCACTGCCGGAACTCCGGCTAAGGATGCACAGCGGCAGCCGAGGTCTCCACCTCATTGATCTATGTTCTAGACTAGAACTGATCATGATAGAAGAATAGTTTTCAAGACAACTATACTATGTTAACTAGACAGTAGCTTGAGAAACAGATGAATGTCGTCAACTTGTTGGAGAAATGAGATTCAGCCTCTGCAGATTCAGGGAGCTTGATCTGGGGATAAATGTGCTGGAGAACTGGGTGATAAGTGCCAAGACTGATGGAGGGGGAGAGGGAGAAAGAGAGAGAGAGAGAGAGAGAGAGAGAGAGAGAGAGAGAGAGAGAGAGAGAGAGAGAGAGAGAGAGAGAGAGAGAGAGAGACTGGATTACAGACAAGGAGAGATATAGCATTCGGCGCAGAATGAATCAAATACTTACTCGCAACAGGAAGAAACCAGGCAGTAACAACAGCAAGAAACCAGGCAGTAACAACAGCAAGAAACCAGGCAGTAACAACAGCAAGAAACCAGGCAGTAACAACAGCAAGAAACCAGGCAGTAACAACAGCAAAAAACCAGGCAGTAACAACAGCATGCAGTGATTAACTAGGAGTCTATTGTAATAACATTAGAATCGAAAGCAGATAAGATGGTTTCAGTTGTCAAATGTACCACGAAACGCAAGCAAGAGGAAGCCAGTGACACATGCGGAAGGATTATATCAAGAGATCGACGAACAAAAGTCTCAGAAAAAGAACATTCTGGACGAGAAATAGGGCTGGTGTAGACCCTAGCCAATGGCAACACTTGGAACTTAACAGTGACAACTCAGCTTTCTGGGTGATGCTGATCGCCTTCATCTGAGAAAGCTAGGTATTAAACTCACTACTCAGAACTAAGTGGAGCATGTCCTGCTACTTTAACAAATCCATCTTTGCAAGCAGTGCACATCATCGTCTTTATCAGGTTTGCTTAAGTTAGAGGTGGACAGCTTAGTCATTCCGCCCAACCGCCTTTTCTCCCCCAAATAATGGCATGAAATAAGTTAAATGTGAGCCTCAATGCAGATGATTGTGCGAAAAGTCAGTACCATCTCCTGTATGTCCTCGCCCCGAACCTGCGGAAGCAGAAATCTAACACAAACAGCGCCTCCAGATGAATGAAACCTCCAGGAACTGCTTGGCTGAAATGTCTTGGGCAAAAACATAATTAAGAACAACTGCATTCATTCTCAAATCCCTACCAGCTTAAATTTCACGATGTGGTTTTTATTTCCAGCGTATGAAGACGATAAGGTTCGCTTATTTTGAAAATCTCCGGTTCATACTTTGAGCCGCAGGGTTGAAATTCTCACTAGCGCACTGAAGGCCGTCCTGAAGCGGCTCGGAATTTGGAGTCCCAATTGAGTACAAGACGCGGAAATTAGATACACTGGGAAATGTTGTAGATTCTGCAATTACATTGAGACTGACATGGTGGATACAGGAGAAGATTTGTATTTAGATCTTGCAGATTGGGGAAATGGATTGCTGGCAGGGGTGAAGTAAAGTAGCAAGGTGAGGCGGTTGGTTCGCTGCCAAGATGTTGGTAGTTTGCTAATTAGATTGCTAGCTGCAAACCATTACGTCAATCAGCGTGTGATGTGAGCAGGTTGTAGTTCTGACAGTTCGGCCATCGCTGTCTTGTTGCATCAATGCTGATTCACTAGCTGCTGGAAGCCAATGGTGGCTGGGACATATGGTGCTAGAAACACATGTGTATATATACCAACAGGCACTCGGTGCGGGATGTGCTTAATATGGCTTCTACCGTTTTACTTCCCAGGGTATGTCCCTGTACTCAAGTAAGCTGGGCCGACATTGCAGCCATCACTGTTTGATATTTGTATAAAGATTACCAAAAATCAGAGTCAAATACCTTTGGAACTCGGTGGTTTTTCGGACAAGATCTTCGACAGTTGTCGGTCAAGTAGGGTCACTGGGGTTTTGGTAACTATGCCATAGATTGGCCAAACTTCACCAGTCTGCGACATGGTGCGCCACTCTTGGCGTTCGTGACTCGGTGAGATGTTTTTGTGTCACACTCCATCACCTGGGAACCTGAGACGTCACACCTCGTGTTTCGTGTCACACTCCGTCACTTGGAAACCTGAGACGTCACAGCTCGTGTTTCGTGTCACACTCCGTCACCTGGGAACCTGAGAAGTCACAGCTCGTGTTTCGTGTCACACTCCGTCACTTGGGAACCTGAGACGTCAAAGCTTGTGTTTCGTGTCACACCCCGTCACCTGGGAACCTGAGACGTCACGGCTCGCGTTTCATGTCATACTCTGTCACCTGGGAACCTGAGACGTCACGGCTCGCGTTTCATGTCATACTCCGTCACCTGGGAACCTGAGACGTCACGGCTCGTGTTTCGTGTCACACTCCGTCACCTGGGAACCTAAGACGTCACGGCTCGTGTTTCGTGTCACACTCCGTCACCTGGGAACCTGTTTTCATAGCGAGGCGCAGAAGCTGTCTCGAGGTGACTTGTTCGATTTTCAGCACGCTAATTATAGCTTCCGATTTTTATGTTGTCTAGTGTGTTCTCATATCCTTCTTCTTCTTTCTATGAGTGCTAGTCAATAAACTGTATCGTTATTAATTATATATCTTCAAAATGTATACGGCTTTAAGGGCTCCACCTCTGTTTAAAAATTGGAGGTAGTCAGAAAAGCCACACTTCTCCCAGATTTACGCTATCTATCGAGGAATCAAGGCCGAAGGGCTGCCAAGGGTTTACAACTTATGTTTTCTGGATGTAAATATATCTATATCTATGATATAACTGAAGTAGATAAGTTTGAATACAATATTTGTGTTTAAAAGTCTCAAAGAGAGTGAGCAGCGTTAAAGACAAAATACATTCAAAGTTTGGAGTATTTAGCGACAGAGTATTACAATTAAAATGCACAATATTTAGCGACAGAGTATTACAATTAAAATGCACAGTATTTAGCGACAGAGTATTAAAATTAAAATGCACAGTATTTAGCGACAGAGTATTAAAATTAAAATGCATAATATTTAGCGACAGAGAATTACAATTAAAATGCACAATATTTAGCGACAGAGTATTACAATTAAAATGCACAGTATTTAGCGACAGAGTATTACAATTAAAATGCACAATATTTAGCGACAGAGTATTACAATTAAAATGCACAGTATTTAGCGACAGAGTATTAAAATTAAAATGCACAGTATTTAGCGACAGAGTATTAAAATTAAAATGCATAGTATTTAGCGACAGAGTATTACAATTAAAATGCACAATATTTAGCGACAGAGTATTACAATTAAAATGCACAGTATTTAGCAAAAGAGTATTACAATTAAAATGCACAATATTTAGAGACAGAGTATTAAAATTAAAATGCACAGTATTTAGAGATAGGGTGTTGAAGACAAAACTATTTAATAAACAGAGTTGGTAGACATACAGTATACAAGACATGCAAATGCTTCAACCACTCGGTACTTTATCACATTACATACACACGGCATGTAGGTATTTATTTATATTATAATTCTTTTAGGCTTGAAGTCAAGAGAGTTTTAGACACAAACTTTCAGGGACGCCGTTTTTCAAGACAACAGAAAGAAAGTATGTGTACTTAAGTTTCAGATCACGAGAAAGTCAACACTGAAACACAGAGGGGCAGTCATGTGCGACCACGGGGAAATCTGTCATGCATGCATGCGTACACACTGCTAGAACACTATGGCTGTGGACAACCTTCCCCACAGCCTGCATGGGGTCTGAGAGTCCGTCGGTTCATTGGTGTGATGCTGTGTACGTGTGTGTGTATGTGTGGGGGAGGGGGCGCAGGGGCTGCATGATGTGGGTCAGCCAGTACGTTGGTCAGCCGGTACGTTGGTCAGTTAGACGATACGGTTTTCGCGACTGTTTGCATGACAAAGCTGACGTCGGACAGACAAGCCGCCTGTATTCGGCGCATACTTGTGGACGTCCTGTCGAGGCAGACATGCCATGTATGTGTTTCACTTATTCTCTCATGAATAACTTCTCCCTAGCCTGTAAAGGTATCCGTGGCACGCGCCAAGCCCCAGTGGAAAGCCACGGAACTTGTCCGCGGGTTCATTCTTCCCCAGTCCTGAAGGAAGACACTGGAACGAGGCTGTTGTTGTCAAGGACGCTTCGGAGCAAGAATGTGTCGGTTTTACCAGTGCAGATTCTGGCAACAAAGCTTATGAGGGGATGCTCTAGATTCGGAACGTTACTATGGTTATCTTCGCTAAAGGATCTGGATTCGATATTTGTTCAAACGATATCTCCATAAGCAATAACCAACATGGAATGAGCAGAACAGAATTACCAAACACGCTCCCAGATAATTCAAGTAACCAGACACCCCTTGTAGTCAGAATCGTGATAGATCATCCCTAAAGGTCAAAGTTGACTAGCTTGTAGCCAGTCTATCAGTCCGAACTATAGATCAGACAGACAGTTTATCTTACAAGAATGATGGGGGTTTTCTCTCCCCCAACAATGGGCCACTGTGGTGTCCAGAGAAAATATACACAAAAGATCAAACATCGATATTTCTCTGTAATTTCAAGCCTGAGTGATCGATGCCAAAACAAGCCGTCAGACATATGATATTAGTCATTCAGTCTATCTATATACAGTGCTCACTCGGGTCACAAACACGTCTAGTCAAGAGAAATGGGCTCACCGACACGTCTAGTCAAGAGAAATGGGCTCACGAACACAATCTCGGAACACAATTTTAATTTAACCCGTGAAAAAAATGCTTCGGCGCACGAATGCACACACATAGCGTTTGGCTACAGGAGAAACACCAGCCACCGAGACAGCAATGGAACCATTGTCCCAAGAATAGAAACAACAGACAAAACACCAGCCACCGAGACAGCAATGGAACCATTGTCCCAAGAATAGAAACAACAGACAAAACACGAGCCACCGAGACAGCAATGGAACCATTTTCCCAAGAAGAGAAACAATAGACAAAACACTGGCCACCGAGACAGCAATGCAACCATTTTCCCAAGAAAAGAAACAACAGACAAAACACCAGCCACCGAGACAGCAATGCAACCATTTTCCCAAGAATAGAAACAACAGACAAAACACGAGCCACCAAGATAGCAATGGAACCATTTTCCCAGAAGAGAAACAACAGACAAAACACCTGCAACACTGACACGCCCGCTGTGAACAGGAAATCTTGGAAGAAGTAGTCTTTCTCCTCGTCAGCCTTCTAAACCATCTACATGCGACAGTACCTCTTTCTAAACCATCTACATGCGACAGTACCTCCTTCTAAACCATCTACATGCGACAGTACCTCTTTCTAAACCATCTACATGCGACAGTACCTCTTTCTAAACCATCTACATGCGACAGTACCTCTTTCTAAACCATCTACATGAGACAGTACCTCTTTCTAAACCATCTACATGCGACAGTACCTCTTTCTAAACCATCTACATGCGACAGTACCTCTTTCTAAACCATCTACATGAGACAGTACCTCTTTCTAAACCATCTACATGCGACAGTACCTACTTCTAAACCATCTACATGCGACAGTACCTCCTAAACAATCTACATGCGACAGTACCTCCTCCTAAACCATCTATATGCGACAGTACCTCCTCCTAAACCATCTACATGCGACAGTACCTCCTTCTAAACCATCTACATGCGACAGTACCTCCTTCTAAACCATCTACATGCGACAGTACCTCCTTCTAAACCATCTACATGCGACAGTACCTCCTTCTAAACCATCTACATGCGACAGTACCTCTTCCTAAACCATCTACATGCGACAGTACCTCTTTCTAAACCATCTACATGCGACAGTACCTCCTTCTAAACCATCGACATGCGACAGTACCTCCTAAACCATCTACATGCGACAGTACCTCCTAAACCATCTACATGCGACAGTACCTCCTCCTAAACCATCTACATGCGACAGTACCTCCTAAACCATCTACATGCGACAGTACCTCCTTCTAAACCATCTACATGCGACAGTACCTCCTTCTAAACCATCTACATGAGACAGTACCTCCTTCTAAACCATCTACATGCGACAGTATCTCCTCCTAAACCATCTACATGCGACAGTACCTCCTTCTAAACCATCTACATGCGACAGTACCTCCTCCTAAACAATCTACACGCGACAGTACCTCCTTCTAAACCATCTGCATGCGACAGTACCTCCTCCTAAACCATCTACATGCGACAGTACCTCCTCCTAAACCATCTACATGCGACAGTACCTCCTCCTAAACCATCTACATGCGACAGTACCTCCTCCTAAACCATCTACATGCGACAGTACCTCCTCCTAAACCATCTACATGCGACAGTACCTCCTCCTAAACCATCTACATGCGACAGTACCTCTTTCACAACGTCGTAAGATTTGTCTAATTAGGGATTTCCGTCATAGTCGGAGTGTATTTGCCTGAGAGACAAGGAACCAACATTCTGCATACGAATCAGCCATACGGGTAAAGCGGATGTGCACGCAAAGCTGAAGTTCTGGAACAAGACTAAAATCCAGAAGTGGACGAACAACCAGAACTTTCCGCCAGTTTATGCTGGTGAACGCGAAAAAGAAGAAAAAATCAAAACACCCCAAGCAGACAAATCATTAATTTATGTCTAAAAATGAGCCAACATCAAAAACGAAAAGCCTTACAGCGTCACATACCGAGACGAGCGTCGTATGATCGATCCCATACAAGCGCAAGCCTTAAAACACAGGATCCACAACGGCTGATTACACTGGAAGACGGACGGAGCTAATCAAGAAACATTACAACAGACTCTTGTCTCTAGCTGCAAGCATTGCCTGATTTAGCATGATCAGATTTGTATTCGATGCTGTCAGGAAAGAATCAAAACATCGACGCTTTTCTACCCGGCGCTTGGATTACTATCAGTTGACAGATTTCTATTCCCCCTCTCGCCCGGGGAATTTGCTGAATAATTTCTGGTACTGTAAACATTCTGTCAGGAGATCATACGGTAATCAGATTCTGTTAGTACTGCGAGTCAGCTCTAGGGGTTCCTTTAAGAAAGATATTCTTTTCCGTTGCGTTGTCTCTTTCTCTCTTTCCAGATACCCCAATGAAAGTGCTTGCTGTGTTAGGGTCTTGTTCTCCTTGGCTGAACTGATGAACTCTGACCCGGAGACCTCCACTGATCAGATATTCAATAACTAACATTTAAGGACTAGCAGAGAATAGGGCCCAATGACAAACAACAATATTTCTTCCGAAACGTCTTGGTTGTCACTATTTGGAGGCGGCTCGTGCAAATACAAAAATGGGGGGGGGGGGGGCACTATCGCTGTCAAAGTGACAACGTCTGTATCTGTCCTCTACTTCAAACTGACAATGTCTGTATCTGTCCTCTACATCAAACTGACAATGTCTGTATCTGTCCTCTACTTCAAACTGACAATGTCTGTATCTGTCCTCTACATCAAACTGACAATGTCTGTATCTGTCCTCTACATCAAACTGACAATGTCTGTATCTGTCCTCTACTTCAAACTGACAATGTCTGTATCTGTCCTCTACATCAAACTGACAATGTCTGTATCTGTCCTCTACATCAAACTGACAATGTCTGTATCTGTCCTCTACTTCAAACTGACAATGTCTGTATCTGTCCTCTACTTCAAACTGACAATGTCTGTATCTGTCCTCTACTTCAAACTGACAATGTCTGTATCTGTCCTCTACTTCAAACTGACAATGTCTGTATCTGTCCTCTACTTAAAACTGACAATGTCTGTATCTGTCCTCTACTTCAAAGTTTCAATGTCTGTATCTGTCCTCTACTTCTACGAGTGCTTATTGATATTTCGCATTCTGTTTTTCGTTCCTTTTAGTGGCCGTTCACAATTCAAATATATATGTGTCATATATATTAGAAGAAGAAGAAGGTAAACAACAAGAACAAGAATAACAAAAAGAACAAAAGAACAAGAAGAACAACATCGAACGAGAAGAAAAAGAAGAAGATAAAGAACAAAGAGAAGAGGAAGAAGAAGAAAAAAAAGAAGAAGAAGAAGAAGAAGAAGAAGAAGAAGAAGAAGAAGAAGAAGAAGAAGAAGAAGAAGAAGAAGAAGAAGAAGAAGAAGAAAGAAGCAATGAAGGAAGAAGAAAAAGAAGCAGAAGAGGAAGAAGATGAACTAACGAAGGAAGGAAAAAAAGAAGAAAACAACAAGAAGAAGCAGAAGAAGAAGAAGAAGAAGAAGAAGAAGAAGTCAGAAAGAAAGAAAGAACACAAGAAGAAATAGCAACATTTCAGTATTGCTAGTCACGAGACGTGGCGTATCCAACCCCCTCCCCCTCTACAACACACCCACACACCAGTCTGCCCCCCCTCTCCCCACCCAGTTCTGGCCAAGATTGAAACCCCAGCTCACTACAATGCTCAGACGTCACTCTAAGTGGTTCAGCTGCTACTCTTCGGATGGTTTGTCTTGAAAGCCGAGATCCCGGCGTTCTAGATGGGGGAGGTTGTGCTCGGGGTGTGGACGTGGCTGAGGGATGGGGGCAGTTGTGCTCGAGGTGGGGAGGTGGCGGGGGATGGAGGCAGTTGTGCTCGAGGTGGGGACGTGGCTGAGGGATGGGGGCAGTTGTGCTTGAGGTGGGGAGGTTGGTGAGGGATGGGGGCAGTTGTGCGCGGGGTGGGGACGTGGGTGAGGGATGGGGGCAGTTGTGCTTGAGGTGGGGACGTGGCTGAGGGATGGGGGCAGTTGTGCTTGAGGTGGGGAGGTTGATGAGGGATGGGGGCAGTTGTGCGCCGGGTAAGGAAGTGGGTGAGGGATGGGGGCAGTTGTGCGCGGGGTGGGGACGTGGGTGAGGGATGGGGGCAGTTGTGCGCGGGGTGGGGACGTGGGTGAGGGATGGGGGCAGTTGTGCGCCGGGTGGGGACGTGGGTGAGGGATGGGGGCAGTTGTGCGCCGGGTAAGGAAGTGGGTGAGGGATGGGGGCAGTTGTGCGCGGGGTGGGGACGTGGCTGAAGGATGGGGGCAGCCAGTGTAAAGTTTCTGGATAGTTCGATTTGCGAGTCTTGTCAGCGGACTCACCCAACATTCCCGACACAACCCGGCTTCTCTAGCCGGCTTTCTGAAGGTCAGGCAAATTTATCGTCCATGAAGAAATGAAAGGTATTAGGGAGTTGGGAAAAGAGAAACAACAAAGTGAAAAGAAAGCAGGATAGGGGATGAATAAATGGAGGAATGGGTAAAGGTTGACGGCGAAGGATCAAGCGATCTGTAGATATCCGCCATAGCGCATCTGATGAGTTCAACGTCTGCTGGTGCTAGGGAAATATCTTCTCTTCTGTGGCTCGGGG